AATACAATGCTCTTAAGGACATATCCAAGGCAATGTTTGCAGGGGCAGGTAATATCTATTAATAGATGAATTGATGTAAGTGGAAAAATTATGTACAGGTTGAGAACAAAACTGCTCTGAGTTTAATTTTGATCATGTTAATTGGTTAGACGACTTGAGGAAAAAAAGGTGGCTGTTATCTACAGAGCTAGGGGAGGAGGATTTAGCAATGCAAAAGGCAGCAGTGTTTCCCTGTTTTGTTATTGGACAAGGAAACAGACATATTTATTGCCTATCCAGGGTTTTATTGCCTATCCAGGGTTTAGCTGGATGGAGGCTGTGTGGAAACATTCACTATGACATTTCCTGAAAAAAGAGCGAGCAACCAGGGGAACATGGCCACAGTTCATTCCCTTCTGCAGAAAGCGCAAAGAGAGAAATATACTCCAACTCTTCCCCGTATGCTGTGGAATACCTTGCCCCAAGGGGCATCTTGTAAGAATGCACGTGCCTTGCCACTGCCATAATGTGAACAACAATGAGATATCTGGTTGGGTGGAGAGAGCAATTGCATGAAGATTTCCCATCACCATGCAATGATAAACCAAAATCTAATCCTTAGAAGGCATGTAAAGACTCTCCCTAAATATAGATCAAAAACACTTCCACTTCCCAGAAGATTGTGAGATGAATTACCCATCTAATTAATTGTCCCACTTTAGTGTCACTAGAGTGAGTGAGTGAGTGAGTGAGTGTGAGCTTTTTCAGATTACAGGGTTTTTTTTGTTTAATTCTAAAAGAAACAGATTTTTTTGTTTTTAATAGTATTTAAACCAAAACCAGCAACTCAGTCCATGGTTAGCATTCAATGTTCTTCCTGGCTTGAAAAGCTTCTTTGGGGAGCAGCTTGGCAGAAGATTTGTTTGTAATCCCCTAGAAAAACAAGTCTGAGTGGGATCCCTTTTACATTCACCACTGCTCTGAACATTTGGACCTGGGTGTGTAAAAACAGCATACCAAGCTAACTATCCACAGCTTCACCATCTTTCCACTTTCCTCAATGAAAAAAGCAGTCAACACTGATCAAGTAAAATGCCATTTTTCAGTTAGTCTTAACATTACAACCTAACAGTGAGTCTTATACACTTTATTAATTTCAGATAAACATGGCATCAGGGAGATCTGTTTGTTTCTGTTTTATAAAGTACTGATTACAATGGCCAAGGCTAAAAGATTTAGACAACTTCTTTTTTTTTGTAATCAACAATATTTAAAAAGAAAAAATAGTGACTAGAAACAAAAAAATTGGGATGGAGTGTAAAAACATAAACCAAATTCAACATGCCATGTGACAAACGCTTTTAAGATCTGATTGTACACAACTGTAAGTATCTTATCATGCAAAATTTTTATCACAGAAGAAGCACCAGAATGAATGTTAGGATTGCTTTTCAATAGTGAAACAATGCATGAAAGAAATAGTTGGCTTTTGCAACAAGAAATAGTCTCTGTAATGTGAAGATCAGGCTTTTCTTTCCAAATTCAGTCATTTTAAACAAAACCTGAATAAAATTTTTACTAGTTCCAGGAAATATTTTAGAGATCCTACCTTACTGTAAGCTATTACTACAGGTTGCCTCAAGGCATTTCTTTCCTCTTGACTACAGCCTGTAACTCTCTTCAAACATGTAGAGACTGAATTGCTGTAAAACTGCATTACCCAGTCTCGGGTTTGAAATTCCTAGGGAAACGGTGATAGCTTTACAGGGACTGAGTCCTTAAATTATTTAAAGTTTGAAATAACCTTTTTTTTTTTAACAACATACAGAAACCTTACACCTAATTACTCACAAAACTGTAATAATCATTATGAAAATATCAGCATTTATGAACAATCAGCTTACATATATGTAGCCCACTGAATGGACTACTGGGTAAAACCTTCCCCTTTTTTTTTAATGTAGATCACAGTCTCCAGGGAGTTCTCTAAAACAGACACACTGTACAGTAGGATACACAACATATAAGAGAAAGAGGAAGTTAATTTTGATTATCTGATAGGTGAAGCAAACTGCCTGAACAGTGACATGAATCCTTCACCGAGCTGCAGTGAACTGTACTCTTGCCAAGATCCCTGAAATGCTATGCTGAATATGTAACTGTGCCTCTTGACTGTTACCCCTTCCCCAGCATATTTTTTTCCATATTTCTCCTCCTATTTAATTTTATCCCCAGCAGGAAGTATAAATTGTATCAGCATAAAGAAGGTCACAAAAAACAAACAAATAAAATCCACCAACAACAGCCCCACAATTCCACAGGCTGCCTTGAGTATGGATGAATTTCCTCTTTGGATCTCTGGGCTTATTGATCAGGGACTTGAACTTTTCACCCCTTTAGTAGAACAGAGGTCTTCTGATCATCACAGTGTAATGCTTGTCTGCTCACAGAGGTTTCAGCTTTTGGGTACAACAAATGACATTAATCAAGTAGTGTTTTTCCCATTAATTTTGTCATGCTTTAAATTAGAAGGCTACTGTGATTACATATGCAAGAGCCATTTCTGATTTATAATAATCCAATTATTCCAATTTGCAGAGGCAATGTAAGTGCAGAATTCAGACTTTCTCTATAAATGTTAAGCAGCCAGTGACCTCAAGATATGTACTTTAGTCTCACAAGTCAGAGGATTCAGCCACTGAGTCCAGAGCAACACTATCTTAATGATATTTTAGTAAAAAAGCAATTGGGAAGCACATACTCAGAAACGAGCGGGTCTGAATCAGCCTAGTAAGCCAGAAACACTGAACTAGTAACTTCTCAGTAATATCTTTCCTTCCATTAGGCAACTATGGTTCTGTAACACGGAGCTTGCGAAGACCAGCCTTTTCACACTGGTAGCTCTTTATAGTTATTTAGTCGACATCATAGAGACCAAAACGTTGTCAGAACACCAGAAAAGTGCGGCGTCTGCCAGAAGTGGAGCCTAGACACATGCAACACGGCAGCTTGAGCCACAACATAAATTCATCAAACTGGAAATGCATATCTAGAAAACATAAATGCAATATATTTACCCCACTCAAACAGCCAATAACTGATCAGGTAATGAACATGGGTACTTGAATTGTGGCATCAAACCACTGCAATTTGTAACCAGTGAATTAGTAAAATCATTGGAATTTGACGATTCATATCTGCATAACACTGTAGCTGTTAACCAAATGACCTTACCACAGTCTATACCTTAAAACCAATTTAGCAACTAAAACAACCTTTTTCTTTTTTACATTCAATCACCTAGAAGACCTGAGTAATCAAACTCACGTACTCCTGAACTTTAACATCAGACATAAAATCTAGAAATGACAGGTCAAGATCTTCACAGACTGAGCTTGTGATTGCTGGAACCACTGCTGTCAAACTAGTCTAAAAACTGAAGTTCAGCATTACTAGCTTGATGGGTGTTTAGTGAACAGATCTTAGACACATTTTAAGTAAACTTAAATATAGCCTTTCACAGTGCATAGAAAGAGCACAATAAATACCAAAAAAGTTGTTAGGTACCATTTACAATGAAATGAGAGAAAATAAAGTTAGGGGACCACAGAGACAATAACTCAAGTAAGAGGGGATGATGAAATTTTGGGGTATTCTTTATACAAAATACACCATGTAGACAACGATCTGAGAGAGGATGCATTGCAGGCAGTGGTCCACTCCCACTTAAGCACAGTGTTTACTAAACTGAGTAATCCTACCTAGTGTGAGCTGAAGTAAGTAGAAGACTGTACAAGACAGAAGATCTTATTTTCATGATCTTGTAAAACTGCAGATGTTATTATAAATATGCTCAGAGTTCTAACGGACCCAATTTTGTCATTATAATTCAGATATTTAGTATATCTCCACAGGGTCCTGATGGCCTCGCATAGCATGTTGATAATGGCCTTTCTCACATGGCTCAAACACCTGTGCAGCTTCTTGGGTTTACATATTTTCTGTATTTGTTGAGCATAGAAGAATGGAGGTTGCCCACATGAAAGTAGGTCTGACATCTTGAAGGCTGCCCAACGCCACCAGGCATACCATGACATATTTCTAGCAGTCTCCTCCTTCCGACCAAGCGTCCGTGTCCCCTAAAAACATTCCCCAGCAGGAAACACACCTGCAGGGCCAACGCATCCCCTCCTGATGCCAACGGGGTCCGCTCGCAGCCTTTGGGACTCTGCGGTACCCAAGCTGGTGAGGGGAGCAACGAACAGGTGGGAGATAGGACACAGCTTTGCTGCTGAAGGTGCTGAGGGATAGAGGAGTCGGGGGCCGGTGTCCGGTCCTCCTCGACACCGAGAAGGACGCTCCTGCGTGCAGCTGCGAGCTGCCGGCCTGGG